ACCCAACAAATGAAAATCCGCATAAAACACTGATATTTGACTTGCAGTATATACGCTTTGGGGTTTCTGTTGACATGGTTATAATTAGCTAATATTTCCGCAAGCTGACATGCTTTAATACTGACAAAACGCTATTTTCAGCGAATGTTTACTCACTGCTGTGGCGTGCATCACTAGGAACCGATCGTACGGAAAATAGCATTCGGAATAGTTCGGGTACAAACTTTTTCGAGGTAAAAGTTCAAAAGGTATGTGCGAATGTCCACTTTCGCGATTTGGTAAGCTGTGTTCTGATTGGTCAATTGGAAAGGTTACCTGACGCGACCTTCAACAAGGTTTTGTTAGACTCAGTATAGCAGTGTAACGAATAATACTGAGGCTAAGTTTACTTAGAATGGCTAAACACACCCCTAAGTATACTCGGCGTCATTAATGAAGGGTCAAGCTATTGATAACACTATATTGTTAAGTCTTCGTTTTTTTGTTTGAAATATATACAACAGAATGTTTTACAAACGTTCTTAACAGTATGGAAAAACGCATCAGGCCTTTAAAATGTCACCATTACGTTCTTTAACGTCCGATACATTGTGCCGTTACAAAACGCACATTTTTTTATTCAAATTGTCAATATAGAAATCCACCTGCCACTTAATGTCTATGACCTGTACGTGCAAGTCGCTCTATCAATGGAAAGTGGAGGACAATACACATGCATGGATGCTTTTTCACTGTCGTTCACTGTTCAGGTACCTGTTTGAAATCGCTGCTTAAAATGAGACGTTTTTGACACTGGATGAAACGGGTCAGGCTATAGGCTACACACGTCACCCAGCACAAGTGGATTTCCCAGGTTTCCGCAGAGCTCTAGTAGAGGAATGGAATGCGAATACGCCAGCTTTCTTTATGAACTCGATAAGGAGCATGAAAACAAGGTGCACCTGTGTGTCTTGGACGCGCAAGGCGGGTACACGAGTTATTGAATGACCGAGTGCTTCATGTTTGTCATTTTCATTTTGGGGGGTTGGTTTATACAACTGATGTTTGCCGGGGCTGTTTGAACTTTCTGTCTGTATGTCACGATGTGTCACGTTTGTCAACACATTAAACATTATGATGACACTCTTAGTTCTATTATTTCTGAGAAACTGTTCTTTACATGTACTATATATCATTGTACCCTTTAATAATGGCGGCAATAACACCAATTGCAATGAATCTTATGTACCCTCACCATGTTAAGCAATGGTCACTGAAGTGAAGTGAATCCTGCTGTGCACATTGTACATGTGCAATCATTGGTGGGAGCTTTTTTCAAATGGGTTGGTAGGGAATCGCGCGACAAGTACACTGTCGCACACACTTCACAAAGAAACGTTTTCACTTCATGCTTTTGCTTGTGTGATTTTAGTTTATCTTTGTCTGTGTACGCCCTGTCACATAAATCACATTTGAGTTTAGATGATCTTTGGTGACACCTGATATGCCGTTGCATGGATGAAGAACGTTTGGTACTGTATTTACAAATACTACAATAAGTTGTGCTTGATATCAATGAAGGCCGAGAAGCCGAATCAAAAGCTGCGCTTGAAGAGGTTAGTTGCCTTCAACAGAGCAATAGCTCTGACTTCAAATTCTCATTCCATGGTAATAACGCTTAGATCCAAACGATCTATTTCAGCCATCTTCTCCTCTACAGGGCCCATGCTCATGATTGACTGGACGATACCGATCACTGCAAGAAAAAATACAATCACTGCAAGCATACACAGTGGGTGTACAGCTACTGTACCCGATCTGGACCCGATTACTTCACGATTACAATTAGACAGATTAAATGAATATTATGCATTCAATTGAGCAAAGATTTCACATATATGTGGAAAAGTGTATCATTAACAATATCCACACATAGAAATACTGTAACATCAAACCATTAGGAAATAAACTTAGTATTTGTCTACTTGAAAAGGTATGTTCTGCCGATAATCGCTGATTGCTTTCTTCATGTTTAACCTAGCAACTTAAAACGTTCCATAAATAACCATCAGAACCCTTGCATTCGTGTAATGTTAATATTTAAATGATACAGTTCGTCTTTCTCAAATGGTGACTAGATTGTTAAAGACGAACTTACATTCACCGCCAAAACAAGCACGCGATCACTGCAAACGCAGGCGGGCAGTCACCCTATCACTGCACTCTGCAGGACAGTGGTTCCAAGGGGTGAATTGGCACGCCGAAGACAGATGTGCTTCCTATCCCCTTTGTGGGTAAAAGTAACTTGCTGATTTCAGTAGGATATTTGTAACAAATGTGAAAAAGTCATCAAAAACTAAATAAATATACTGTTAACAATAACATACTGTTTAAATAGCGCAAATGTGATGAACGTTCTACTCTGTAACACTTCATGGATGTGGCACTGTTTTTCAGGTCCTGCTATTCCTAGAACAGGCGGGGGTACACATCGACAAAGGTTTCAGGCCCATTGTGTTCATGATCGCATCCCTCAACTTCATCTTCGACTCGGGCGTGTATCTCTTAATGAATAAGAAGTACCGACAGAATATTGCAAGGATATGTTGTGGTTCTGGACCTGGAAACACGTCTGTAAGACCCAGTGAACAGAATCGTGGTTGAAGTGGTGATATCGTTCCAGTGTTGGTCTTGTGTGGGGTGTTGTGGAGTGGTACAAAAGTACTTTAGTCACGGTGTGTGATGGTTGTCAAGGGGATAGCGGTTGCATTGGTGACGTCGTCATTGTTGGTGTTACATGTTGTGGAGATGGTAGCCACGGTGATAGTGGTTGAAGCGGGGACGTCGTCATTGTTGGTGTTACATGTTGTGGAGATGGTAGCCATGGTGATAGTGGTTGAAGCGGGGACGTCGTCATTGTTGGTGTTACATGTTGTGGAGATGGTAGCCATGGTGATAGTGGTTGAAGCGGGGACGTCGTCATTGTTGGTGTTACATGTTGTGGAGATGGTAGCCATGGTGATAGTGGTTGAAGCGGGGACGTCGTCATTGTTGGTGTTACATGTTGTAGAGATGGTAGTCACAGTGCTGGTGTGGCATGGTTGCCATTGTGATAGTTGTTGAAGCGGGGACGTCGTCATTGTTGGTGTTACATGTTGTGGAGATTGTAGCCATGGTGATAGTGGTTGAAGCGGGGACGTCGTCATTGTTGGTGTTACATGTTGTGGAGATTGTAGCCATGGTGATAGTGGTTGAAGTGGGAATGTCTTCAATGTTGATGTAACATGCTGTTGGTATGGTAGCCATGGCAATAGTGGTTGCATTATGGACGTCGCCAGTATTTAATTGGTGTTACCTGTTGTGTTAGCCATAGTGGTTGATGTTGCAGTGGAGTCGGTCGTCTAATTGTTAGTGTAAAATGCAGTGAAAACACTTCAGTAATTCGTGATGTGTCTGACGTCTCTGAGATATTGGCCAACTGTTATCAATACAGATCCTGAAACAAATAGATTAAAGACAGCCCATGCAAGTCTGTAATATGTAATCAGTCCAAATGGACTGCCGTTTCTGAAAACGAAGAAAGTCTTGCTTTGCTCCTCTATATTCTATATTATAAACGGAAGAAGCCTTTTGATGTAAACACAGTTAATTACAGAAACAAAATGCCAGTCGAAGTGGCTATCAAACAACATACCTAAACGAGGCTATCAATTTGTAATAAAACACTTGTTTAGCTACGCATATCTTTTTATCTGTGTGTCAATGTTTATATACATTTACCATGATAATGAACGTTAAGATCATTCCGCACCTTACCATAACAAACTCTAAAGAGTTGTCATCTCAAATCCGTAATCCAGTCTCTTTTTCCAATTATCATCATATTGTAACATTTTTAGGGGTGTTTGACAGGGGTGGAAATAACCCATTGCCCGACGTCCGAGTCCAGTGTTCTTTTCTGTCGGGCAAGCAAATTTGTATATCACACTGTACCGGTGTCCAGTTGACTTTCCAATGTTAATTATGTTTATTTAAAAAAATCAGCAGGAAAACGGTCGGTATAGTGGCAATATTATCAGGGCAAGTGACATTACATGTGCCACTGTACCGGAGTACACTATCAATTTTATAGTTATTTCCACCCCTGAATTTGTATGAAGGCATAAAGAATATCTTAACCAGTCTTTAAAACATGTATATATATATATATATATATATATATATATAGACACATACAATACAACACACAATACATAAATGGTGGGAACACTCACCATACGTCATAACACTAGATGTATAGATTTAAGTCCAAGAACATACTGACAACAAATAATTGAATTTTCTCTATAACGTCTAAACATTCTGAATGAAATTAGATTAATTTAAACATAACATATTTTAAAAAATGATTTAAGCGAAATATCTCCTTGGACTCTTTATCTGTTGAAACACTTAAAACATATTTTAGCTAGTATTGCTGTCTGATTTGAATGTCTTTGTCACGAAAGATTTCTGGTAAAGTATACACCTAAATATTTATGGGGCTATATATTCATGAATACTAGATTCTAGAACAACTGCTACTGTTAGACTCAACAGAACAAACATATAAGATGGAGGTTGTTTCAAACGACAAGATTCGTTCTCTTAGAACGGGGACTACCAAGAAAAGGACCAAACGTGTTTACGAGGGAAACACATAACAAGGAGCTGGTGGCACCTGAAACAAAGCGTTCGTGCGTGGAAATTGACATACTTTTAAGACAGAGTTAGCCTTAAGATCGCTTTGCAGAACGGGCCCCAGGAATTTATATCGGTTAATCCTGCGATTGGAGCGTTCCTGTCTCCTTGGCCTTCCAAGGTATGATTATCTTAAGTACGCGCAGACATCTCACAATTAATACGTGGAGAAAACTGGCAAGGTTTACCAAACATATTCCGTCAAGGCAGTGTGAGGACACAAAACACTGTCGTAATCTGTGAATTTATTTCTCAAGCTGCTGAGGAGAGGTTTACAAGAGGTTGGTTTAAACAGAGAAATGCCATGTTAGCCAAATGTCCGTGTGTCACTGCGTACCATGTAAATTTCATGGCAACCTGTTCGCTTCATGCCAAACATTGACTTGTATTGAGGAATCATATTTTTGTGTGTAAGGAATATCCTAAATCCAGCATTATAGAAGTCTCTCAGCAGCTCCAGACCTCTTAGGTACTTGTCTATGTCCGGCTCTGGGTGAGATCTCAGCTTGATATGAAGTTCAAAACAAAACTGTTTCACATTTTTCAAACTTCCGCTTTGTAACATTTCAGGAAAGGCAAACCACTCCGAAGCTTCAATATCAATCTTGAGCAGATCGATTATAGCCTAGAATAGAAAAAAAGTTAACGGAGTTAATACAATCGTTAATACAATCGTGCAATAAAATTAGAAGGGTCGGCGGGGCGATGAGAACCACAGATAATACAAATGCTGAGCTTATAGTAATTGTATTACTAACATTTTGCGTTCATCGCGTTTAATATACATGTATTTTTGGTTTTCAACACTCCGCTCAGTAGTATTCCAACACTGTAACTTTACATGTATTATTTATAAATTATATCCGAACATAACCAAAATAGCCTTAAGTGGATCCATTGATATATCAAAGTAACTGACTGCATGATGTAAAATGCCAAGATATTAAGGATAAAACTGGATACTTTGTAGTTGAGGTGATTTGAGGGAACCATAAAGATACAGGTGATGCCACTGTTATGTCCAAATTGGATCGTTTACCGTTAGTCGCCACCTTGCTGGGATATTGCTGAGTTTAGCTTTCAGCCACAAACACGTTGAGAAAAATAGTGATTAAAAAAAAGATTTGCTGTCATTATTATACGTCGCATTCTCTGGTGAGATTTGGAATGCGTTCTACTGATGTGAACCTATTTATCAAATGGAACATATATTATGATAAAAAAAGATATTATTTCTAAAAACACCTGTATGGCAAATAAAGTTACGTTCTAGGCATGTTCTGTTTCAATGTTTGAAAACAATTTTGAAACAGAGTATTCCAACTGCTAATCGAACTCGGGCGAACACGAGACAAGCCCAACGTTAATATTAACAGAATGTTGCAATAGCTACATGCCGAAATGTAATGGACAGTGACACCTGTCAAGACATATCTGATCCATACGAAGTGGCAGTGGTGGTGCAGTTATGTATTGCCGGCACTGCTGACAATATGGGCGTGAGTGAGTGAGGGAGGGAGGGAGGGAGGGAGCGAGCCCGGGTCTTCGGCGTGACAAGCGAACGCTTTAACCACTAGCTACTCCACCACTGATAACGTCAAACAGCCAAAAGGTGATTATCCCAGTGTTGACGTTCCCTACACAACAAACACCCCTGTACGATAGGTAGTGAGTTGGGGAATCACACGCGGACGTCGTGATCGATGCGGACATTATTGCATCATCTGGACACAAACACTTACAAACGCTGCGTGCCTTTCTGAGTTGCTGTTTGCAACAGATGTCGTAATGCCATTGTTCAGAATGTTTAATAAAGTCTTAACGTGTATATGCGTTCAATAAAGATTGTTGGAGTGTGTAGTTCACCACATACATTGGGATCCGGGTTAGAATAGATCTTCAGCAACCAATACTTGTCGTAAGAGGCGACTAACGGGATAGGGTGGTCAGGCTCGCTGACTTGGGTGACATCGTATCCCAATTGAGTAGATCGATTCTCATCGTCGTTGTTTGGTCCAGACTCGATTCTATACAGACCGCTACCATATAGCTGGAATGTTGCTGAGTGCGGCGTAAAACTAAACTCACTCACTCATATAGCTTGTGCCCATGGTCACTAGTCATATCACTTACCACATGCTGCAGTTATTGTGTTCCTTTTAAATTCATTTTACATAGTTTGTGTCCCCCCAAAATACGTTTCCTGTTCTAACACGTCTTAGATAGCGTAAAATACATCCGTCTTACCTGTGTGTGATTATTTTCCTTTAAAATGGACGAGAAGGTTCGCATTCTCCAACCCTTGTTGTTTGTGCTGTGGGTAGAATTAAGGCCTGTCTTATGGAAATGAATGTTACTTCTCCTGTCGTGGTCTGATACCTTTGTCATGCTGAAACAATATATTTACAATGAGTGTTTGTGTGTTTGTGTGTGCGCCCATGTGCGTGTGCATGTACGTGAGTGCGTGCGTGCGTGTGTGTTTGTGTGCGTGTTTATGTGGTTATTAAATTCATAAAGGTATATGGGGACTATAGTGTAAAGGCTGCAAAAACTGAAAAACTGCTGACGGTGGGGATACACTCACTAAACGTTCTTGTGTATTTGGGGGCGGTGGGGTAGCCTAATGGGTAACGCCGAAGACCCGGGTTCGAATCCCCACACGGGTGCAATATATGAAGCCCAATTCTGGTGTCCCCCGTCGTGCTATTGCTGGAATATTGCTAAAAAGGCCTTAAAACAATACTCACTTACTCACGTGCATGTTTGTTATGCGTTAAACATGACTACACAAACATGATTCGCTTACGGAAATGATTCACCAGTATCACGTTTCCACAAACATACAAATAACCCAACCGCTGACATCCAACACCCTAGAGTATTTAATAGTCAATTTCTAAATAAATTCAATTTATGGTCTAGTTCCTCAAATAGACGTGGGGCGGTGAGGTAGCCTGGTGGTCAAAGCGTTCGCTCGTCACGCCGAAGACCCGGGTTTGATTCCTCACATGAGTACAATGTGTGAAGCCCATTTCTGGTGTCCCCCGCCGTGATATTGCTGAAATATTGCAAAAAAACCGCGTAAAACCATACTCACTCACTCAAATAGACGTACTTAGTACTGACACTATATATCCATAGCCATTCACAATCTGCTGCAATAGGTCGTCGTGAATGATACAATAGTATATACATATTAGTTAATATGGGGAATCTATGCATGTTTAATGCTACATGCATTTCATACTATATCACTCCAATAGTACACAAAACGTTACCCTCCTTCCTTAATGACGGAGGTACCTATCTTCAGCGTTCACGTCTTGGTCTGTCTACGGTGCCCCAGTCTGTATGAAGCCTCCCACATAAGTTTTATAACCGTGATACTGTGGCATCCGAGGGCGTTGGCAACAGCATTGTATGTCGACCCCATCTAGCACCATCCCAATGGCTTTTTCTCTCTCTTCAGCTGTTAATCGTGGCATATTTCTCGTACTTGTATATCATATAATCTTTTCTAGGCTCTCTTCATACCCTATAGAATTATTCTACATGTGAAATTGATGCAAATACTGCTTGAATATTGCTGCGTTTTGGCGATTGATATAGCTATGTGTAAACAGAAAATGGAAAAATGTTACTTTGCAAGCAACAATGTTAACAAAGATCATTGTAGAAATTCCTAAACATTTGTTCACAATATCAAAGACACGTTTTACATGTTTTCACTAATGCAAATCAGCAGAAAATGTTTTAAAAGACTGAAATCATAGGAATGATTATTTTCCAATTTTACACACTCTACAACAGTTGTTTCTTGGTTTAATAGTTGAAAAAGGTGATTTTAAATGGTTTATCTTTGTCCCAAAGTAGAATTTTTTTGGACATCTAACTTACTGTTATTGGTTTATTTCGGCATGGACGAAAATAGGACAATTTAACTCTTCTGAAAAAAGATGAATGCATTTGAGAATTTATTTTCGTGATTTCGTGTTGTTAAGCTTTCTTGTACACTAATACCTTCTAACATATCTTTGATAGTTTTTCAGTAATTCATAAAGGTAGGAGGGTAACGTTTCTTTTGGCGTCTAGTGTATTTCATTCAATGACTTTTATCGGGCTTCTATAGAATAACAGCTTTTTGAAATAATATAAACTTACTGGGTGTTCCGGGGTAACTTGAAGGGTATTTCCTGATTAGTGAATTTGTAGGCTGTACCTCACCATAAGATTTTCGTGAGAAAATTTGTAAAATCTATTCCTTTCGCTAGATCATCATTTTCTGAATGCAATTGTCTGTCTACGATTCATCTTCTAACTCAGTTGAAACCTAATGCAGCGTTCATTTGGCTGCGGCACATAATTGTTTTATTTCTGGTGTATTTTCAAGTTCATGTCGCATGCAGATGGACATTCCTGTTGGGTTTTGCTTCATTCATCACAGAAATGTTGTTTTTTCTTCTATCCTCCAATGCAAGCATAGCCTATGATGTAGCAACAATGATTCTCTTGAATGTCTGTGAAGTGTACTGTGAAGGTATACTAGGCTGCTGACACATTGCAGAAGGAAATAGGGCTGGGACGGGTAGGAATAAATGGAATCGAGTACCCGCATGTGCTTACCCGAATCGGAATCGAGTACCCGGAAATGTAAGGAATACAGCGCTTCTGTCAACTGTCTGAAAATTCAATCACGGGTTGACAGAGATTATTATAGAAACTTGAAAGAATGGCAATAAGACATTAAAACAGATCTTAGGCTATTTAATTTACGTCTATTTAACCAATATAAAGAGTATCAGCATTACTTACATTCCTCGTTACACTGGAAAAAAAGTCCACATTTACAAGCTTGGAAATGTCTTGGAAAGATGATGTTTCCAAGACATTTCCAATTTTGGAAAGATGATGTTTCCAAGACATTTCCAATTTTGGAAAGATGATGTTTCCAAGACATTTACAATTTTGGAAATACGAGATTTCCAAAAATTTACAATTTTGGAAATGTCCACAAGGGGGGATAACTTGTGGGTGATGGTAAATGATTGTTCTTTGCACGCCCAGGACCTAATCCCTTGTTAACTGATGAGTAAGTCAAGGCAGTTAAGAGTCACCAATTAACAAGGCCTACTGCCTTGTTAAATTAATGAGTGAGTGAAGTCAGTTTAGACAGCCTCTGGAAGGAAAACCAAGTTGCAAGTTTTTATGCCTCTTAAAGAAGCCTCTGGAAGTAAGTTATATCTTTGATGGCCATTTAGAAGTGGAATGCATACAAAGAGCAAGACTTATGGATGTCAACTTCCTTACTGTGACCTGATTTTCACCTGATGAAGGAGCAAGCATATGCTCCGAAACATCGTGTTATTCACAATAAAGAAGTTGACATCCATAAATCTTGCTTTTCTTATTAAAAAGGTAAGTTATTAAAATCCACTGAGCTGTAGGTTTGTTAATCATGTCTCGATGTGATTATCGCTCTAACACACCTGAGAGATTCGTTAACAGTGTTGTATGCACAGGCGGTGAAAGTTGTATTGTATTGAATTTGGTTGGTTGCATATTGTTTTGTGTTATGCTGTCAGTTTGTATGTATGTGTGAATGAGGAACCTCACATATTATGACATTGAAATCAAACTGAACTTAACATTATTCCATGGTCAATATCGCAATGTGAGTGAAATGGTAGTATACGGAAGTTTGTTTCACATTTTTGATAATACCTTCTTTTTATGCAGATAAAATTATTAAAAAGGAAGGAATAATGCCATGCTTCTCTCAGAGTAAGGGAAGATAATTTATATAGTGATTCTTATCAAATTAGATATTTCTTTATCGTCCGAACGGAATTCACAAATTACAGATGTTTTGTGTGGGTTTGTGTGCATGCACTCGTGTATAACATCTAACTTGATAGGTATTAAAATCAAGCCGTTTGTAACCATGACTATATTGGTTGGAACACTTGAGGAACAAAAATAATTTCTCGCTTCAAAAGGAACTGGAACAGTAACATTTTTCATGTTATCATATGAGCTTCAAAACATTGAATGAAATAAATGCTGTATGATGAAATGGATCAGAGAACATTATAATGGCATAAATGACGTGTTTATGACACATGTAATGGTAAAAATACATAATCACTATGTTAGTTAACTCATGACCAGACACGTCAAACTGGTACCGATAGATTTATATCTAAAATGTAAAAATTCAGTATTTCTTAGTACCTGAAATAGAAAACACGAATTTGGATGAGATGTTTTAATCTGAGATCAATCTGTAGAACTTAAATCAACTTCAAAAGATTGGTCATTCGCAAACTGAAGCAGATCTCACTTATACTGCAGTAAACAATATGGGGATACATAACGAAACATACCACTTACGTGATAACAACTCCCTGTTTATTGCATAGAACGGCATTCCGATGTACATCGTTCAGAATAAACAAGCTGATTGAATGTTGATTGATTCCATCACTTGGATAATGGAGTGGATTTCGACTTGTTGATCTTACTCTCCTGTTGACCTCAACGATGTGCTACTTGCTGAAGTACCTGTTGTTGTTAATTTGCTGCTTGTCACTATGCATATATACTTCTATTCACCTGGTTGTAGTAACTTTTATCCAGATAATGGCGTGAGAATATACATGGAAACTCCCCTCTATCGACCTTTGGTCCAAACGGATGAGTTAAGAAAAAAGGTCGATGTCCCGTCCTTTAGCCATTTCACATTGGATTATAGAGACAATGATGGGCCTACGTGTTGATAGAAGAGGATATTCCGGATTATGCGAATGAGAGCACACCTAATGAGAAAACGAGCCAAATATATGTATAAAGATAGTGTTTTATTTCACAGAACTTTTCGTTCCCGCCGCTCACGCGTAGATAAATTACAGTCGTTAATAATAACCTTCATTAATCGGACAATACCAATGATGTAATTGTGTGTTACGTCAATTATGAAAAAGACAATTTATTATCTGCCCTTGTCATTACAGAGTTCTCTCCCTTTCCGGGTACTCGATTCCTAGAAATAGGACTCGATTCAAGGTGTACCCGACCCGGATTCGAGTACCCGAGTACCCGTCCCAGCCCTAGAAGGAAACGTATACGTCATGCATTTCAAGATCTAAAGTCAAATCCATCCACACATGCAAACTAGAAGCCAGATAGCAAAGTTGTGTAGGGCCAATGTTGGTATATGGTTGTTTGGTTGGCCAACAGTTTGACAACATTGGCCCAACGTTATCTTAATGACTTAAAAGTAACGGTGGCTTTTGACACGTTGGTCTAACAGTGGGCCAACATTTGAAAAACTCTGCCTATTTTCCCCTGATCTTACATCTATTTCACAAAGTTGGGCCACCGTTGGCCCAACATTGTGAATAATAGAGTGAGCACACGGCCATTTTTAGCCATGCTTTCTTATTAAGATTTTGATGAAAGTTGAAATAATTACACAGACAAAAAGAAAGAATCCATTTCCCTGTCTTTCAACTACGATACAGTGAATTTTACAGCGTTATTTTCTCCAAATCGAATACCAAACTTGTCATCATTGATAGCTTTACCTGATATTCAAAGAGCAGACGACACTACATTTCTGGAGGCCTTCAACTGGTAAATATGCATTGTTATTTCTGTGATACTGATTGCAAATATATTGTGAAATAATTGGTTTAAATCATCATTTAGGCTGAAGAAACTGACGCATACTGTATTGAAAGGCAATTGATTGAGTAGATAAAAGATTTAATTGACTCTTTTCTTTAGGTAGCCTGTTTAAACCACTTTGATCAATCTCATTTCATTTTAAATTATTTAAATGTATTGTGTTTACTTTATTATCATTATGTGTTTGTCAGTTACACTCCTGTTTCCATATACAACTCCCGTATACGGCGACGTTTCTATGTAGATTCTTACACCGTTATCAAGCTAACAGTGACTACAACCAAATGATGAGAAGTATATATATATATGTACATAGTATGTTTTGTCAAATAAACATAATTGGAAGCGGCCAGTTGGGGACTAAGAACAACAAATTGATCTAGTGAGAAAGGGAGTGGGGAGTGGGGTGGAATGATAGGTTGTAACAACCTGATAGGGTGATTTGATAGAGTCTATAGTTTGATTAGTTCTTCATATTCCAATGGTATGTAGTGGGGGCGGTGGGGTAGTCTAGTGGTTAAAGCGTTGGCTCGTCACCGAAGACCCGGGTTCGAATCCCCACATGAGTACAATATGTGAAGCCCATTTCTGGTGTCCCCCGCTGTGATATTCCTGGAATATTGCTTAAAGTGGCGTAAAGCCAAACTCAGTCAGTCAGTGGTATGTAGTATCCTTGGTCTCTATTGGTCAAAGGTTTGTGGCCGCTGATTTTGATGGCTTCCAAATGTTTTCTTTTTGTGAAGTCCTGATTCTTGGTGGATAAGATTTCGAATTTGTCAAACCAGCCCCCTAAAACTAAGTTTGGCGTCATCTCAACCCTGATCAAGCACGCTAAGAACATTTGCTCCAGCAGCCATGACCTAGAACATGAGCGGAACCACCTACAACATGTCTTCACGAGCCTCAACCAGTAACCCACCAACTTATAGTCACCATTTGAGTCCAATGAATTGCTCACTAACACAAAATCTAATAATTGCAACAAAACCAAATTTTGCAGTCACATGAAACGACAGACCAATGAAGAACTAATCAAACTATAGACTCTATCAAAGCACCCTATCAGCTTGTTGTTACAACTGAATCCCCCCCCTTGTTTATTGGCTTCATCACCATTCCATTTGTTCTTAGTCCCCATCTGGCCTCTCCCAATAATGTACCAGTTGTTATTCAATTACATGTTTTTGTTAATGTCAATCTGCTGATTGTCAGACAGACAGACAGACAGACAGACAGAGAAGTTTATTTCTCAACCAACCAACGGTGGTACATGAGAATATATAAATACATAGGTAAACAAATATATACATGGCAAGTGGCTGGACATGATCATTTGAATATTACTTAGTAAGCGATTTATACAATACATTCAGAAATGACTTTAAGTTCTTTAGATGTTTAGTAGTTTTATTACATAATAATTTCTTTAACATTGAATGTTTTTTGGAGATCACACATATATGTCGCGAGATAGGTATTTCGCTGTTGGAGAAGGGTTTCACATCTAAAGAGATAGTGAAACTCATTCCCAACAACGTTAGCGTTACACAACTTACATATTCTTTCCTCTTTTTGAATAGAATGCCATCGGCCGGTTTCAATTGGAAGTTTTTTGTTGCAAGTTCTTAGTTTTAATATATGGAAATATATATCCCTGGATAAGTATAAGTAGTTTTCAAAACATAGTTTATCTTAAAACATTAAAACATTGACCTTAAGAACTAGTTTCTATGGAGCTACGCCAATGTTGTAAAAACTGATCTTTGAGAGTAGCTTCAACTTTTAGGACCAACCATGACGTGGTGACATTGTGGGGGTTTGAGAAAACCTCTGATAAACCGCAGGTATTAAGTATTCTTGTAACAAAAGATATCCATCGGAGTTGACAACCAAAGTTATTAACAGAGATAAAATTATACATCAGTGAGGAGAGTTTACAGTATTGGTTATTTGTTGCTACTTTATGCCAAAAAGAAATAACTCGTTTGTATAATTTGATGTAGAGCGGTTCTCGGCCAAACTCGCCATACACCATAAAGTTTGGAGTGGAGCTTCGAAGGCCAACAGCAAATTTAACAAATCTGAGATGTACTTTTTCTATAATGTTCAAGTTTTCAAATCCCCATACTTCGTTAATGTCAATCTGCTGCTTGTCAAAACATACTACGCATATATACTTCTCATCATTTGGTTTTAGCTTGATAATAGAGTAAGAATCTACATCCGAACGTCACTCTGTGCAATAAACAAGAAGTTTTCAATCATTAAGTTGTATGTTTCAAATAAAACATAAGGTCAAATACTATGTCCTTTTACGATAGTTCTCATGTCTAAAATTATGATATCTGACAGTTTCATGAAAGTTTTGGTGGTTTTTTTTCAGGAGCGGTTCGAAAAACCTGTCAGCGGCGACAGCCAAAAGACCTAAGACAAGAATATTTTCAAGAAATACAATAATGTTCAAATAACAATGAAAAAAAGAATTAAATAGTTCACTTGATTAACTTGTTGTGTTGTTTAATTATGTTTCTGACTGCAGAAGTCAGGAAAGAGCTAAATGTTGTAATGGTGGTGCCAACATAAGGCCAACAAAATCACTACGTTGGGCCAACTATGGGCCATGGGTTTGTATGAATTTTCGTTTATTGGCCCAACAAGGAGCCAACATGATGGGCCACTGTGGAGCCGATGAGCATATCCAAGTGGGCCCATCGTCAGTTTGACAACCATGGGCCAACCAAACCGGTGATTATGGGCCAACTATGGGCCAACATATCATTGCTATCTGGGAAGTTGTATATCCAAGCAGAGCCCACATGACAACGTATAAGTGCACACAGCAATATTTGATGAGCATATCTTTCGAAGGTATAGCTTAATGTGAAATTAAAACAGCGGTCAAGTCAGTGTCGGAAACACGGGAAATGCGATAATATCAAGCATTTTCTATCGTGTTTGTCTGTGTTACAATAGTGTAAAATCTGGCTTTTGGACCCGTATTTATGAAAGCACACACCTTGGATCATACGAGTGGACATGGCAGCCATATGCTGTAGCTACATCGTCGTCGAAGCTCCAGTCGTAGTTGATCCTGAAAGATGTACGGTGGAACTGATCAGGAGAAAACACTACACCCGCACGCACGCACGTACGCACGCACATACATAGTGGAACAACATGCCCATGTTCTCCGAGGATTACACAAATTATGTTCTGAGTGAGGTGCGAAAACTCGAACCTCAAGGATCCTAACTTACAATACCTATATTTCATATTTTATAACAAAACACACACACGTCGCTGGAAGTGTGAACCTGCTGGTGGTTATTCAGTTAGAATCATTGGCAGTCCGTCACAATAGTGGCCTAGTTGTTAAAGCCTCCGCTCGTCACGCCGAAGGCCCGGGTTCGATTCCCCACATGGCTACAATGGGTGAAGCCCATTTCTGGTGTCCCCCGCCGTTTTTGCTGGAATATTGCTAAAAGCGGCGTAAAACCTAACTCACACATTTATTCACAAATTTTAAAGGGATTGGGGACAAATTTTCCAACTTAAAATACCCGCTACCCAATATTTACATACATACATTTTCAATTATATGCATCTCAGGAAAGACTAGAGAGAAGAGATAGGAAAGTTAAAGAGAGAAGAGAGGAAGGGACACAATTTATGTGATCACTCAAAACGTTTTGATTGATGAATAAAAGTTTGCACACATCTGAAAACTTATTCATTCACTCACTCACCGACAATATCGATGATAATGAAGTATAGATGTAACTAGTCATCAAAGCTTGTCACCAGACATGGGCATTTTCAACGTATGAATAAATTGATCAATCTTTGTCAAATGTGATACAACTATCTGGAATGAATATAACAGACCTACCCAAATGAGTATATATTGCAGGGTGTCTTCATTCCGTAGGGATGGTCTTCACAAACGTTCCAACCGCCGTCAAACTCATTGCCTCGCCTGACCACCTTTTTACACGAAATCTGTACGCTGTTCACATAGCTGAATAAAAAAACCCATTGAGTTATTTACTCTCGTTCAAACTCAAAAGCCCCTTCCTTAAAAACAACAATTTAAATAGGTCATTAATCCTTACACATAACACGTTAATCCAGATATGCGTTGGACAATTACGTTTTTGCAGCTTTAAGGGAATGGAATGTTTTCTGGCTGCCTTTCATATACATCTTTATCATTATCGTTTGAAAACGGGACAAAACATTCATAGAAGATTTTACCATAATGGCGCTATTAATTGCAGAGCACGAGCTTATTAGATCAGAGTTACGAAACTCTTTGCATTCTTACACATAGAGCAAATAGGGACACTGGCATGACGAGTTTACACTTGTTTTTTTGAGCCTGTCACCCGCTTATGGGCGCATCACAAGAAGGGCAAAGAGAGATTGGGATCGGGGGGAATGGGAGACTAAGGGCCTTCAAACACAACAATGTCAGGTTAAAACTTAAAGATGTAAATCAGGGTCCTGATCCACAAACCGTTCGTAACGTTACGACCTGTTGTAACTCTATTGGTTTATCAATGACTTACGAATGTCGTAGCGCTACGAACGTTTTGTGGATCAGGGTCCGAAACTCAGATCGCTCATGTTTCACAGTGCATTTCTGATGTGAAAATCCTGGATGTCAATCAATAAACTAAAAATTGAATGACAACAAAACTGACATCTTGCTGACCAGTTAAACCATGAATCGGACCAAGCTTAAAGTGGACTCGATTACAGTTGGTCACTCCGTGCTAACTTTCAGTACAACAGTAAAACATCTTGGGGTCATCATGGACTCGAACCTTTCTATGGAGGACAATATCAATAACGTGTGTCGTACATGCTATTTCCATGTGAGGAACATCGCCAACATCCGTCACCTGTTGACATGTGATGCATCACACTATTTGGCCAGATCCATGATCCTCTCATGGTTCGATTACTGCAACAATCTACTGGGTAATGTGCGTCAGGATCTTGTCACCAAATTACAGCGCGTTCAGAATGTAGCTGCACGGACCATCACCAGAAGCAGGGAGCGGTCACACATCACACCAGTCCTTGTCAAGCTCGACTGGATGCCGATCAAAGCAAGGATCGAATACAAGATCTTGTGCATCACATACCGCTGTATCAAAGGCTCAGCTCCATCCTACCTGACCAATTTGGTGAAAGAGTATGTTCCTCCTCGATGCCTCAGATCAGTTAACAACTCACTGCTCACAATTCCCTCAGCCAAACTGAAAACCTTTGGACACAGACGCTTCTCTTTCACATCCGCCTCTCTCTGGTATGATCTGCCCTTCATCTTCTTCTGCCTTCTAGTCAACCTTCCAACTTCCTCTTCCGAAAATGTCACCCTGATGCCTAGTCTAGCTGTGTTATCAACAGCGCCGCGAGCAATCACTTGGTGTTTGGTAACACCTGGTTTGCGCTATGCAAGATGACTTATTATTATAATCAGGCCGAACCAGAATAGGAACCTGTGATCATTGGTTATAGGCGTGCTCAAGTGATGAACTGCACCAAATTGATGCGATTTGACATGACAGTCTGTGTAAAAAGTGATACTTGCGTCTAACACTTGCTTTGGTATCAACGGTCGGTGATCATAAACCAAGTTAAGTATAGAGCTAGAACTTTGGAGTCAAACTCGGATCATTGCCCGATTTAGGGACGCTCCTAAGGTAGGAACTTTAGCCCTCTTGACCAACCATTCTCTCCTTGCGTATATAGGATTCTCCCTGTGAGCTGAAGAACGCACGACTATTTCACAATTGATACATAGCTGTGTAAACTTTTCCTTTCTTTGTTTAGACCCAAAAGTGTTTGGTTTAATTATGTTTTTCGAACTCTATTCCTATCACTATCTTTTCTGATCGAAATGGAAAAAGACATACACGCTGGTATTTGCATGAGTTCCAGGTAATCAAAGTTTATTGTTTATTTGTTTTTACTTGTGGTATATCTGTGACAGCTGTCGTCTGTCCAACGTCTTCAGCACCTGCAGCGTGGGCATGGGTTGTCCTACTGTCACGGGATTCTGAAATATCAAAAGAAGAAAGTGACAAAATCGGACAACATGTTTGATCATATACCTATATCTATATGATAAAGACCAATAGCGTTAAATAGTATGTAAGAGATCAAAACCAGAAGCGGATAACATTCAACTCCCAGAGCGTGTCACCTTGACTTTGGAAGGTGATGTCTCCTACTTTGTTGAAACCAATGAGCACTGGTAGGGTGATAACAAACGTAATCGAAGAGAATCGGGATCCTGGCTTGCCAAAGGGACGCAACTCTGCGCAACGAACTGGGTGACTAGGTCTCCTGTGAATTGGATGACTAGGTCTCTTGTGTCCCGAGATAATGATAAGTTATTGGTCAAGTATCATCTGACCATATCTCAAACCACCCTTAATGCAAGACCTCGACAAGCACTGTTTGGAATCCATTTTAGAACTTATTTCAACAACGTTTTCCTGTTATAACAGTGCATCTGGCATTAAACGGCTTTTGTCTTCAAGTCAAAGATTACAGTGACATATTTCTGTAAAGCAGACAATATATTGTCTTCAAGTTAGTTACGAAGAAACCCACGCCACTTTAGACACCCTCCTCTTCACTGACAGTATCATCCGACTCATCAGCTCCTCCATCAGCACAACCTACTTCACCAGGCAAGACAAGATACTTTAACATACCCACAGACTCCCCATGGGATCACCCTTTTCACCCATCATCACAGAGACCTGTATGCCAGACCTAGAAGATAGAGCCCTCCAGACCATCACCCCAATCTGGTGCTACAGAACAGTTGACAACGCATTTGTTATCACATATTACCAATATTATACCAAACAAATCCAAACCACATAACTTGAGAAAAACACCCCAATAAAACAAAAACAAAACATGAACACAAATTACAAACAAACCATCCAGTACTTCAGCTCCCCTTACCACTTCTTTCAAATTACCAAATTCCCAGTTCATACAAATTAAATTATGCAACACTAGCGTCCGCCTTCAGGTTGCCACATCCTTTGGTCAAATCACCTCTCTTTCGATCAAATACTAAATGGCCCGGCTGGCCCGTTTGCGAAATAAGCATTATGTCGGAAAGCGCACGTTATCTCCAAATCTAAATATTGTACATCACTTGCTTGATAGCAGTGTTAGCCTCTGCACTGAAACGTCGCTTATGTTAAATAACAAAAAGGTTGTATATCTATAGAACTTTGTACGTTGTTCGTCACATCAACTTCTAAATGTTACCCAGAGAGGCGAGGTGAGGTGAAATTGGGTTTAACGTCGTGCTTGAGAATATTTCGCTCATATGACGACGTGCTACTCATAGAAGTTCAAGTATGGTTGTCACGTAACGAGAGTGAGTGAGTGAGTGAGTTGCGTTTTACGCCGCACTCAGCAATATTCAAGCTATATGGCGGAGGTCTGTAAATAATCGAGTCTGGACCAGACAATCCAGTGATCAACAGCATGAGCATCGATCTGCGCAATTGGGAACCGATGACATGTGTCAACCAAGTCAGCGAGCCTGACCACCCGATCCCGTTAGTCGCCTCTTACTACAAGCATGGGTTACTGAAGGTTCATTCTAGCCCGGATCTTCACGGGTACACGAGACCATGCAGCAGCGCCATCAAGGTTAACCGATGAAGCTAAGCAACACCCCATTCCTTTCATCATTTTGGGCAGGACCATACGTTTACCAACTGGTCAGCAATTCAAATAATATATGCTTGTATCAGCGTAATATAAGCAGTTCTGTACGTGAATGGGTGCACTCATAGAAAAAGACAATTTGTAATTAACTACAGTGCAATAGTAAGTGACATAATAGTTTTGTTTGAATGACTATCATGGCAGAAATACTTACACCGATCACCGCTGTGTTCCTTGATGAATCGTCTAAATCCATTCTCACATTTTCCCGATATGTCCATATGAACGTTACAAATGTCATTATAATCGTCAGCACCGTGCCAACGAGGACGAAGTGCCGAAAAGTAATCATCGGCATCATGAAAAGTTTAGTATGCAAGTGGAGTCCGCTCCTTCCAAATCCACCTTTTCAAAGTGAAGTCCAATTAATCAATACCTACACTCATAACGACAGCTGTCGAGCGAATATGTGACTAAACCTTTCAACAATACATGCAGCCTTAACGTGGCATGGGCAGGGTTATTGAATTGATACATGCTCACCGGATAATGAATGGTGTAAGTGTAAGTCCTCGATGAAATCCACTTCGAACGTGAATAGTAATGACACTGATAGAAACACATTCGGTGGGAGACTGACTGAGTTTAGTTTTACGCCGCTTTTAGCAACATTCCAGCAATATCACGGCGGGTTCGGTGGGAGAGGTGAGGTGAGGTGAAATTGGGTTTAACGTCGTGCTTGAGAATATTTCTCTCATATGACGACGTGCATGCGTGTGTATGTGTATGAACGGTTGCTTGTACTAGCCCAGACTGAAGCTGGTTTTATAGTGCTAGCCCACTGAGATACCATGTCGCAGTGAAGCATGAATACCCCACTCAGACACATTATACTGACTCCGAGCCGACCAGAGCGCCAAGCAGGGACGAACAAGTACCATATTTTAATGTCTTTTGGTATGACGCGGTCGGGGATCGAATCTGCGACCGTCCGGTCTCCGGGCGGACGCTCTAACCACTACACCACGGAGGCGGTTCATTCGGTGGGAGAACGCGACATTATAGATTTCTTGCGTCCTCAAGGGGAGGCAATTCTGTGTAGACAATTGTCACGCCGCAGACAGATTCCTGTGCATATCAGTAGGACTGACTGACTGATTTTGGTTTTACGCCGCTTTTAGCAATATTCCAGCAACATCACGGCGGGGGACACCAGAGATGGGCTTTACACATTGTACCCATGTGGGGATTCGAACCCGGGTCTTCGGTGTGACGAGCCAACGTTTTAACCACTAGGCTATCCCACCACCTCACATATCAGTAGGATATTTGGAACAAACGTGAATAAGTTGTCAAAAACGGATATACTGTGTTAACAATAACATATTATGTAAATAGTGTAAATGTGATGAAAGGTGTATTCTGTAACACTTCATGGGTGTGGCACTGTTTTATTTAAGGTCTTACTCTTCCCAGCACAGACTGGGATATACATCAACAAAGGTTTCACGACCACTGTGTTCGCCATGGCATTGCTGAACGTTTAATGAATAAGAAGACAGACAGAATATTCAGGATATCTTGTCGCTCTAGACCTGATATAGAAGCAACAAAACACTTTCAACATCCATAAAAAATATCTGGTGAAATCGGTTGTACAATTCTGACTCTATCATGAGTTCTATTTCATCAGTTTCACAACTTACATGTCGTGGTGATGGTTGTCAAGGTGATAGCGGCTGTAGTGGAGTCAACCGTCACAGTACTGGTGTTACATGTTGTGGGGATGGTTGTCAAGGTGATAGTGGCTGTAGTGCAGTCAACCGTCACAGTACTGGTGTTACATGTTGTGGGGCAGGTTCTCAAGGTGATAGTGGATGTAGTGAAGTCAACCGTCACAGTGCTGGTGTTACATGTTGTGGGGATGGTTGTCAAGGTGATAGTGGATGTAGTGCAGTCAACCGTCACAGTGCGGCTGTTACATGTTGTGGGTATGGTTGTCAAGGTGATAGTGGCTGTAATACAGTCAACCGTCACAGTACTGGTGTTACATGTTGTGGGGATGGTTGTCAGGGTGATAGTGGCTGTAATACAGTCAACCGTCACAGTGCGGGTGTTACATGTTGTGGGGGTGGTTGTCAAGGTGATAGTGGCTGTAATACAGTCAACCGTCAAAGTACTGGTGTTGCATGTTGTGGGGGTGGTTGTCAAGGTGATAGTGGCTGTAGTGCGGCAACCGTCAGAGTACTGGTGTCACATGTTGTGGGTATGGTTGTCAAGGTGATAGTGGCTGTAGTGCAGTCAACCGTCACAGTACTTGTGTTACATGTTGTGGGGGTGGTTGTCAAGGTGATAGTGGCTGTAGTGCAGTCAACCGTCACAGTGCTGGTGTTACATGTTGTAGGTATGGTTGTCAGGGTGATAGTGGCTGTAATACAGTCAACCGTCACAGTGCGGGTGTTACATGTTGTGGGGGTGGTTGTCAAGGTGATAGTGGCTGTAATACAGTCAACCGTCACAGTACTGGTGTTACATGTTGTGGGGGTGGTTGTCAAGGTGATAGTGGCTGTAGTGCGGCAACCGTCGCAGTACTGGTGTCACATGTTGTGGGTATGGTTGTCAAGGTGATAGTGGCTGTAGTGCAGTCAACCGTCACAGTGCTGGTGTTAAATGTTGTGGGTATGGTTGTCAAGGTGATAGTGGCTGTAATACAGTCAACCGTCACAGTACTGGTGTTACATGTTGTGGGTATGGTTGTCAAGGTGATAGTGGCTGTAATACAGTCAACCGACACAGTGCTGGTGTCACATGTTGTGGGTATGGTTGTTAAGGTGGCAGGGGATGTAGTGCAGTCAACCGTCACAGTACTGGTGTTACATGTTGTGGGGATGGTTGTCAAGGTGATAGTGGCTATAATACAGTCAACCGACACAGTGCTGGTGTCACATGTTGTGGGTATGGTTGTCAAGGTGGCAGGGGATGTAGTGCAGTCAACCGTCACAGTGCTCGTGTTACATCTTGTGGGGATGGCTGTCAAGGTGATAGTGGCTGTAGTGCAGTCAACCGCCACAGTACTGGTGTTACATGTTGTTGGTATGGTTGTCAAGGTGGCAGGGGATGTAGTGCAGTCAACCGTCACAGTACTGGTGTTACATGTTGTGGTGATGGCTGTCAAGGTGATAGTGGCTGTAGTGTAGTCAGCCGTCACAGTACTGGTGTTACATGTTGTGGGTATGGTTGTCAAGGTGATAGTGGCTGTAATACAGTCAACCGACACAGTGCTGGTGTCACATGTTGTGGGTATGGTTGTCAAGGTGGCAGGGGATGTAGTGCAGTCAACCGTCACAGTACTGGTGTTACATGTTGTGGGGATGGTTGTCAAGGTGATAGTGGCTGTAATACAGTCAACCGACACAGTGCTGGTGTCACATGTTGTGGGTATGGTTGTCAAGGTGGCAGGGGATGTAGTGCAGTCAACCGTCACAGTACTGGTGTTACATGTTGTGGGAATGGCTGTCAAGGTGATAGTGGCTGTAGTGTAGTCAGCCGTCACAGTACTGGTGTTACATGTTGTGGGTATGGTTGTCAAGGTGATAGTGGCTGTACTACATTCAACCGACACAGTGCTGGTGTCAGATGTTGTGGGGGTGGTTGTCAAGGTGATAGCGGCTGTAGTGCGGCAACCGTCACAGTACTGGTGTCACATGTTGTGGGTATGGTTGTCAAGGTGATAGTGGCTGTAGTGCAGTCAACCGTCACAGTGCTGGTGTTAAATGTTGTGGGGATGGTTGTCAAGGTGATAGTGGCTGTAGTGCAGTCAACCGTCACAGTACTGGTGTTACATGTTGTGGGTATGGTTGTCAAGGTGATAGTGGCTGTAGTGTAGTCAGCCGTCACAGTACTGGTGTCACATGTTGTGGGTATGGTTGTCAAGGTGATAGTGGCTGTAGTGCAGTCAGCCGTCACAGTACTGGTGTTACATGTTGTGGGTATGGTTGTCCAGGTGTTAGTGGCTGTAGTGCAGTCAACCGTCACAGTACTGGTGTTACATGTTGTGAGTATGGTTGTCAAGGTGATAGTGGCTGTAGTGCAGTCAGCCGTCACAGTACTGGTGTCACATGTTGTGGGGATGGTTGTCAAGGTGATAGTGGCTGTAGTGCAGTCAGCCGTCACAGTACTGGTGTCACATGTTGTGGGGATGGTTGTCAAGGTGATAGCGGCTGTAGTGCAGTCAACCGTCACAGTACTGGTGTTACATGTTGTGGGTATGGTTGTCAAGGTGATAGTGGCTGTAGTGCAGTCAACCGTCACAGTACTGGTGTTACATGTTGTGGGGATGGTTGTCAAGGTGATAGTGGCTGTAGTGCAGTCAACCGTCACAGTGCTGGTGTTACATGTTGTGGGGGTGGTTGTCAAGGTGATAGTGGCTGTAGTGCAGTCAACCGTCACAGTGCTGGTGTTACATGTTGTGGGTATGGTTGTCAAGGTGATAGTGGCTGTAGTACAGTCAGCCGTCACAGTACTGGTGTCACATGTTGTGGGTATGGTTGTCAAGGTGATAGTGGCTGTAGTGCAGTCAGCCGTCACAGTACTGGTGTTACATGTTGTGGGTATGGTTGTCAAGGTGATAGTGGCTGTAGTGCAGTCAACCGTCACAGTACTGGTGTCACATGTTGTGGGTATGGTTGTCAAGGTGATAGTGGCTGTAGTGCAGTCAGCCGTCACAATACTGGTGTTACATGTTGTGGGGATGGTTGTCAAGGTGATAGTGGCTGTAGTGCAGTCAACCGTCACAGTACTGGTGTTACATGTTGTGGGTATGGCTGTCAAGGTGATAGTGGCTGTAGTGGAGTCAACCGTCACAGTACTGGTGTTACATGTTGTGGGTATGGTTGTCAAGGTGATAGTGGCTGTAGTGCAGTCAACCGTCACAGTACTGGTGTTACATGTTGTGGGGATGGTTGTCAAGGTGATAGTGGCTGTAGTGCAGTCAACCGTCACAGTGCTGGTGTTACATGTGGGGGTGGTTGTCAAGGTGATAGTGGCTGAAATACAGTCAACCGTCACAGTACTGGTGTTACATGTTGTGGGGGTGGTTGTCAAGGTGATAGTGGCTGTAGTGCGGCAACCGTCACAGTACTGGTGTCACATGTTGTGGGTATGGTTGTCAAGGTGATAGTGGCTGTAATACAGTCAACCGTCACAGTACTGGTGTTACATGTTGTGAGTATGGTTGTCAAGGTGATAGTGGCTGAAATACAGTCAACCGTCACAGTACTGGTGTTACATGTTGTGGGGATAGTTGTCGTCATTGTTGGTGTTGCATGTTGTGGAGATGGTAGCCATGGTGATATTGGCTGAAGCAGGGACGTCGTCATTGTTGGTGTTACATGTTGTGGAGATGGTAGCCATGGTGATAGTGGTTGAAGCGGGGACGTCGTCATTGTTGGTGTTACATGTTGTGGAGATGGTAGCCATGGTGATAGTGGTTGAAGCGGGGACTTCGTCATTGTTGGTGTTACATGTTGTGGAGATTGTAGCCATGGTGACAGTGGTTGAAGCGGGGACGTCGTCATTGTTGGTGTTACATGTTGTGGAGATGGTAGCCATGGTGATAGTGGTTGAAGCG